CGTGCGCGCACGCCAGGGGGCGCACGCGAGCAGGAAAAAAATGCCGTCTGGAGACGGCAACCAGCTGATGCGAGTCAGCCGTCCATTTTTTTTTCTACGGGCGGATGGCAACTGGTTGAAGGTGCACCCCACCTTCCATGTTTCAATGCTTAAACCCTATAAGACTTTCACGAACCATTTCTCACCTCCTGGACCACCAGTCACTGTTCAGGAACAGGAGGAGTACGAAGTGGAGAAAATCCTAGACTCTCGGTGGTTCCAGAGACCTCTCCAATAGTTGATTAGATGGAAATCCTACGGTCCCTTGGATGATTCGTGGGAGGCCGCAGAAGGAGTCCATGCTCCACGATTGGTCCACCAGTTCCACACCCGTTACCCGGGTAGGCCGTCTCCCAGCAGCACCCCCGAAGCAGGGTTCCTCAGAGGGGGATGTGTAATATATGGATCCGCCTGCATTGCCTAAGTGGCGTAAGGCTCTGCCCACTCCTCCGACGTCATGCAGTCCGTCCACGCCCACAGGGCAGCGTTCATCGTCGCCCCCTCCTGGGGCGTCGTCCGGCTCCTCCTCACCTGCGGTCCACTTAAGGACTGAGTAGAGTAACGATCGGCGTCTCAGTATTGAGATGGATACAGACACTGACCGTTCATGTGTAGCTGCTCCCTCTTGGAGAGCTGATTTTCAACCCAAGGACTCAAACTCTGTCTTCAGCCCTGTTGGGCAATCTTGCAGTGGACCGTTCATACGCAGCTCAGCTCACCCTCACCCCTGCTGCTATTGTGGACATTCACACCAGGAACCGAGGTTACCATCCCACTTAAAGGAACGGTGGTATTCCCTGGACTCTCTCTCTCTCTATCTCAGTGGATCCACACACTACAAAAACCCAAGTATCATGCACTGTGGCCAGTGATGAGAGAGTGACTTTACGCTCGCTGCAGATTCTGGGTTGATGACACAGAGTTAGAAGCTATGTTGTGAGTTGGATGCTTAGTTGGACGCTATCCGCAGTTGAGTTCCATAAAGGTGTTTGCCACCCCTTACTACAGATCTTACATTTTAGGGCTTTATCAATTGAATTGTTTATTTTTATCGATTTACTATTGATTTGATAAACATTTGCGCAATTATCACAGGGCCTACAAAGTGGTTAGTAGCACCATCTTTTTATTCTACCGGGCCTGCACTTTCAGAAAATATATGGTTTGGGTTTTCCTTTACAAACGCTAGCACGCAGCAGTAGGATATCAAAACAATGGGGAAAATTGCAGAAATGGTTTGGCCAGCTGAGGTGTAAAATGTTCCGGAGGGCTTGGCAGTGAAAGGGTTAATGGACATGAGCATAGACATGTCTAAAGGTGCCCACACACTGTGCGATTATCGCAAGATAATCGCGGGAAATCCCGCGATCGTACGATAATCGCAAAGTGTACGGCAGGCGTGCGACCGTTTTTACTGTACGGTCGCACGTCTTTTGTCTAAGGAGCATGTTCGAAAACCAGCCGGGAATCTTACGATTTTCGGCTGGTTTGTGGGACGGGCTTGCATGGATCGCAAGTGCGATCTGCCTGTCCAAGATGGGCAGATCGTACGTTTTTAAAATTACTTTACAACCCTCGCAAGACTAAGGTCTTGCGAGGGTTGTAAAGTGTATGGGCGCCTTAACCCCATCCCAATCTTTGGAGATAACCGGGGATGTATACAGCTGACACAATCAGAAAGGATCAACCCTAGAACCAAGCATATCTATGTGAAGTATCATCTGCTTGGAGACATTCAAGAACAAGTCATTATCATCATGCAATATTGCTCATCAGAAGAAATGACTGCGGACGCACTCACCAAGCCATTGCTAAAGGATGGTCACAGTTTCCTTCCAGGGAAGCACGTCGCATAGCAACGCATATGCTGTGGAGAAGAAGTGTTGGAAATACAACAGCAGATTACTGACATTCTAAGTAAAAGTTCATTCAGCATTCCTCAAGATCTCAGGGCTTCATCCAAACGCATAACCAAAAACTGTACCCTATATACTCCAGCACAGTGCAATGTGCCCATTTCCCATGAGTTAGGTTAGTAGGTTAGGTACACTATATACTCTATCATAGAGTAATGTGCTTGGTTGCCATGGGATACTGTACCCTATATACTCTATCATAGGGTGATGTGCTTGGTTGCCATGGGATACTGTACCCTATATACTCCCGAATAGGGTGATGTGCTTGGTTGCCATGGGGTACTGTAGCCTATATACTCTATCATAGTGTGATGTGCTCGGTTGCCATGGGATACTGTACCCTATATACTCTATTATAGTGTAATGTACTTGGTTGCCATGGAATACTATACTTTATAAACTCCAGCATAGTGCAATGTGCCTGGTTGCCATGAGATACTGTATCTATATACTCTATCATAGTGTGATGGGATACTGTACCCTATATACTCTATTATAGTGTAATGTACTTGGTTGCCATGGAATACTGTACTTTATATACTCCAGCATAGTGCAATGTGCCTGGTTGCCATGGAATACTGTACCCTATATACTCCAGCATAGTGCAACGTGCCTGGTTGCCATGAGATACTGTACCCTATATACTCTAGCATGGTGCAATGTGCATGGTTGCTATAGGATACTGTACCCTATATACTCTATCATAGTGCATGTTTGCCATGGGATACTGTACTCTATATACTCTCAGTGCAATGTGCATGGTTGCCATGGGATACTGTACCCTATATACTCTAGCATAGTGCAATGTGCCTGGTTGCCATGGGATACTGTACCCTATATACTCTAGCATAGTGCAATGTGCCTGGTTGCCATGGGATACTGTACCTTTTATACTTCAGCATAGTGCAATGTGCCTGGCTGCCATGGGATACTGTACCTTTTATACTCCAGCATAGTGCAATGTGCCTGGCTGCCATGGGATACTGTACCTTTTATACTCCAGCATAGTGCAATGTGCCTGGCTGCCATGGGATACTGTACCTTTTATACTCCAGCATAGTGCAATGTGCCTGGTTGCCATGGGATACTGTACTGCACACTGCCTTCCTGAACAAGCCGGACTGTGTACCATTCAGCCAGTACAATATGATCATTGTGCGGAGCCTGCTATGTGTGGGCATTGACTCAGAAGATTTCACTGACACATCCATCACCCGGGGGGCTCCCGGCTCCCCCCTCCCCTCCTGTGTGCACACAGCCTGTGCAATACATGACACAGGAGACATCGTACAGCGGCAGAACTACATGGCTTCAAATGGAAGAACGAGCCGCTTGCATCCTCCGTGTCCGAGAGTCCATAGAGAGAGCCGAGGCGACCAGCAGCGGGGATGGTCCATGTGAAGGGCGAGCTGGCCACCAGCAGAGGGCTGCCCAGGAGCCACCCACCCCTTCATAGGTCCCTCTCCTTACTACTAGTGCTGCATTCCCTCTCCAGCCAGGATTCCCAGCAGAACATGGCACCATCCCTCTGATCTACCATGAGACTATTCCCCGGCAAATGGCTCAGGAAGAAGAACACTTGGCTTTTCCTACTTTTCTGGCTGTGCTGCTGGCTCTTTGTCACCACTTTCCTCTTCGTACACCGGACTGTGTTCTCTGATCGCTGCACCGATGAGGAGAGTAGGAAGATCCTGGCACGACTGGTATGTACAGAGAGACCGATGTCTGCCTGTGTGTGGTCCTATCACGACAACGTGTGTCTGTGATCGCAGGAATGGCATCTCATGACATTATAGTTCATTCTGTCCTCAGGGTGTTCAACTCTCCCAAACACTTCTTGTAGCGTGCTCCGAGCTTCCCAGATACTGGATCTGGGTTCTAGTTTATTACTGGAGCAGCTTATTATGTATTAGCAGATGCCAGCCTGTATATTATATAATGTTAGCTTCAGTACTTGTAGAACGTTATGTTTATCCTCTAGATTATTACTTTATATATTGCACCAAGTTCAGGTTTCATTACTCTTACAGAGCTCAGAATTTCCACTCGCCTGCTCGCATTGTGCAAGTGGAAATGAAGTGAGGGCGAGTGGAAATGAAGTGAGGGCGAGTGGAAATGAAGTGAGGGCGAGTGGAAATGAAGTGAGGGCGAGTGGAAATTCAGCCGGTGTATTAGGGATAACACTCTCTCTGCCTCATGCTGATGCTTCCCTGCCGACAGGCATGCCCACACCACTGCTGGAAGCACCCTATCCCTGTGTGCTTTGCATATCCCAGTGGAACCGTATACTAACGGGTCAGATGCCGGGGATGAGGAGAAGCACTAAGCGAGGGAGAGGGGAGGGAGGCAGGCGGGCTGTGTGTACAATGTGTTATCTCAAACTAAAGCTTACATGCAAGTGCTGCGCTTCCAGAGACCTGAGAGACCCCGAAAATAAGACCTACCCCGAAAGTAAGACCTAGCACTATTTCTCAAGATTCCTGTAATATAAGACCTACCCCGAAAATAAGACCTAGTTTGGTGGTAGCATGTGAGGGGGAACTTGAAGAGCAGGAGAGATGGTATCAGCCTGCAGGGACATACTGTATTAAGGGGATGACAGGGGACTCCCTCCGGCCAGCGCAGTGATAGGGAGCACTCCACTACCATACTTCACCAACTGCTGCCCCCCTGAAGGCACTGCTTAATGTAATAGGTACTGTAATGTGTACCGGTAAATGGTACCGTACTTTACCGCGCTGTCCACTGTCTGATGCCCGCACTGCTGGTACCGCTGTCCGGTACTGTGACAGGCGGAGTAATACCAGATAACTTTGGACTGTTGTACATTTTGTTGCACATTAAAAAAAAAAAAGACATCCCCTGAAAATAAGACCTAGCGTGTTTTTGTGGGGCAAAAAAAATATATGACCGTGTCTAATTTTCGGGGAAACACGGTATGAGAAACAGAAAAGTCCAATCGTCAACAAAAATGTAAATATAAGAAAAACTGGGATCACAGCAAACGCAGAATGTGATAAATATGATATTTCCTGCACAAAAGTACAATGTTCAATGGAAATATAACTACAAGTGTTAAACCCACTGTGTCCAACCCCCACAAGTCAATATGCTATATGGAGAGAATATACAGTATATATTGCTTAGTAAAAGAAAAAGTCAATCAGAGGTTTCCACTCCTTCGCAGCTGCTGACAAGTTATATCTTCACAGAATTTGTGCTTTTGCGGAGGAAATGATCATATTTATTACATTGTGTGTTTGATGTTATCACAGTTTTTCTTATTTTCACATTATTGTTGGTGATTGGAGTGACAGATCTTTGTTTAGTAGTGTAGCACGGCACTTGTATTTAGGTTTTGGTTTGAGATAACACAAGGTGTAGTGCTCACAGTTAAATAATAGTATTCATCAATATTAATTAAGTAAATAATAGTAGTAATTAAATAACTAATGTTAATTAATATTTAATAATTAATGAAATAGTAAAATAAATGCATTGCAGGGTCCTGAGTCTATTACATTGCATAGTTCATAGTCTATCGCGTCGGAGGGTTCTGAATTTTTATTGATACTTATTTTCCTTTATGTTTACATTGCGTTATGTTAATATTGTTAAAGTTGTTATTGTTAATATTTATTTTTGTAACTTTATTCTGAATGAAACATTTAACAGTGTAATTTCATGAGATAATTTAAGAGGGTGTGTTTAGGGCGGAGTTAAGGCCAGGGCAGGGTAGAGGTTAGGTGGGGGCAACTGGTGGCGAGTAACTCTTAAGGACTGGCTAGTAGTTCAGAATCTGACATTTTGAGCCCTGGTATAAGTCATTTTCTTGTATATGCTGTTTATATTACTAAACTGGTCATTGTGCAAAGACCAGCTAGTGTAGTAGAACAAATGGCATCATATTTAACAACTGGATTATCACCCTATATCAGTGATGGCGAACCTTGGCACTCCAGCTGTTTTGGAACTACAAGTCCCATGAGGCATTGCAAGGCTCTGACAGCCACAGACATAACTCCCAGAGGCAAATGCATCTTGGGATTTGTAGTTTTGGCACAGCTGGAGTGCCAAGGTTCGCCACCACTGCCCTATATATTACACCAAGTTCAGGTTATGTTGTATAAGTCATCTTTTGATGGTCCCTTAGAAGAGTTCCAGGGTTTATAGCACTGAACTGGTCTCCTTAGAAGAGTGCCAGGGTTTATAGCACTGAACTGGTCTCCTTAGTAGAGTTCCAGTGTTTTATAGTGCTGAACTGGTCTCCTTAGAAGAGTCCCATGGTTTATAGCACTGAACTGGTCTCCTTAGAAGAGTCCCAGGGTTTATAGCACTGAACTGGTCTCCTTAGAAGAGTCCCAGGGTTTATAGCACTGAACTGGTCTCCTTAGAAGAGTCCCAGGGTTTATAGCACTGAACTGGTCTGCTTAGAAGAGTCCCAGGGTTTATAGCACTGAACTGGTCTCCTTAGAAGAGTCCCATGGTTTATAGCACTGAACTGTTCTCCTTAGAAGAGTTCCAGTGTTTATAGCACTGAACTGGTCTCCTTAGAAGAGTCCCAGGGTTTATAGCACTGAACTGGTCTCCTTAGAAGAGTTCCAGTGTTTATAGTACTGAACTGGTCTCCTTACTAGAGCTCCAGTGTTTTGGTCTTCATGCATTATGTATCCTACTAGTGATGGAGATTGTAGATCGGTCAGTGTTCTTGTAGAACAAATGGCATCATGTTTAACATCTGGATTATCACCCTATATATTGCACCAAATTCAAGTTACATTGTGTAAGTCATCTTTTGATTCATGGTCCCTTGGAGTACTGAACTGGTCAAACATTCTACGTCTGTGTACTGTGATCATGAACTTTAGGAGATCTGTGTCAGAAATGACACTTTATAGTACTGCAATGGTCAGTGAGCTGGGTGGGACGCCCAGCCAAAGCATCACAGGCTGCTAAAGGGTCTTAGCAACCTGGAAAACTCTGGCCGGATAGGGAGCGTCAGGCACACCCACCACCCCCTCCCACATGACCCAATGAGATGCCACCTGAGTCATCCATCTCAGGCTACCTTATTATAGTTATGGCCCTGGTCAGTTCAATAACACTGTCCAAGTCACCATGAGATAACTGTAAATACATTCTGGTTACAATGTGCTATGACCTCACACAAAGGGCTCTTCTATACAACATATCTCCATTCATCACCTCTATGGACATGAATATGGTACATTTATGACACTGCTGGATGGTGTTCGTCTTACCACTACATGACTAATCTGATGACTCTTATCTCTCAGGAGTCGCCTATCTCCCATATTTGCAGGCAGCATGCGATAACACAAGGCATCTGCTGCAACCTCGAAATCAGCTTTGCGGGATTGTGAATATTTGATGCTAGTAAATACCTACTTGTCATTGTTATTATACCCATTGCACGCTATGATGACTAAATTAGCTGCTTCTTAGAGACAAAATGTACCAAAAAGAGGTCATATAAAAACAAGACTAGGATTGCCCCAATTATCTGAGATTGTATATGTCAAAATGTATCAGGTATCCTTAAAGGTTGGCACATTTCATGGAAAATTGTGTGAAGTTTGCTTGGAAATCAGTCAGACATGGATGAGGCACTAGATCAACAATCCCAAAAATGCACATCATTCTAAATTGAGATCTCTCACCCTACCTTGTGTAAACATGTCAGGCTTATCCTCAGTGGGAGAAGAGTTGTTACAGCCTGATGACACTAGATGGCGCTGAACAGTGTTTATTCTAGACACAGCTTGTTGGAGGAACAGGTATTATAAAGGGTTTGCATCGTGCAAATGTATTTCAAACACAATGTATACACAATTGTATATGTTGGAAATGTTGAGAAACATAAAACTCTCCTATTGTTAATGAAGACAAACTGCAGTAAAGAAACGCACAACTGATCGTCTTTCAGGTTACCTTTGATTCCTGGAGCCCAACCTGTGGCCCTTAGGCAGTTGTTGTGCGGCCCTTGGACCCCAGCAGTCTGTAGTGGAAGTGGGATTGGAAGCATCGGCTTGTAAAGAATTAAATGATAGAGATCTTCACTTTCCTCACGTAACAGGTATCCAGTCTCCCAGGGCCATTCACACCATAGAGTACACCATGTGCAAAAGGTGTGGAATCTGTACTGCATGCCAGGTGCATTGGTATGTTGCTGTTCATTCTGAATAAAATGGAATAAATGTTATGTTAGATATTGTTATTTATTCTGAATAGCCCCCCAACAGGTGCGCATTGCAGCGCTGCACAATGAGGGGCATTTATCAAAACTGAAGAAGACAGAATCTAGAGAAGTGGCCCATGGCAACCAATCAGCTTCTATCTTCTTATTCTCAAAGCTTAACTGAGCAAAATGACGAGAGAAGCGGATTGGTTACCATGGACTACTGCTCCAGATTCTGTCTGCTCCAGTTTTTATAATTTCCACTCAATGGGTGCTACCTCAATAATGTGTATTGCATTGCCCTGATAAAAAGTAATGCACATACTACTTTTTATCACCACATGTTTTCAAGCATTTTCCAGCTTGAGCGTTTTTGTTTTAGCAAATGAAAAGCTAGTTTCTAGGAGGAGGAGAGGGCACGAAATTCCACAAATAAGTGTGATTTGCAGGTTTTTTGTTCAATTTTTAGGTGCTCCCATTGAAGTCTGTTAGCACCAAAAATGC